TTGTTCGCCGACTTGTTCGCCGAGTGCCCAACAGCGCTGTGAACATGACACGTGACTGCGCATCCCGGGCGTTGCGGCATCCCTCCCGAAGATCACGCGACACTAGCACCTCGTGGGAATGTCTTTGATGGTTCATAGCGCTCGCTGCGGTCCATCGGCAGGTGGAACGAAGTTGGCCTTGGTCCGGATCGGGAGAAGCGGCGTCGTTAACCGCCCGTGGAGACCCGCGGGTGAGGGCCGTCCGTACATCAGCGACCTTATCATGGGCCTTCCAGCACCGCGCATTCGCCCCTTGTTCCGCCGAGCTCCTTTGTCTTTCCCCGTCCCGCCTCACCCTCAATCTGGTCACGCTCCTCTAACTCGGCGGCAGCAACAAACACGCGCGGTAAAAGGGAACTTTGAATTTCCGAATAGCTACGCGGTGCGTATATGCGAGCCCATCAATGCGGAGTAAATGTAGGCGCACGTAACAATTGCCCGGTAGATAAGGGGGCTCCATTATTATATCTACACGGTAGTGCGTCTTAGCGGGTGAACATCTTTACGGCGTTCTCTGGGTCCCTCGTTCAGCGATGAGGATGGAGCGAGCTTGCCAGGTGCTCAAGCTTCCTTCGCATACGTGATGCTAATCGTAAACGGTTTTCCGCCCGAAGGATCCCGAGATTGCTGCTGCCCAAGGCAATTATCCAGTAACTTGACCAGGCTGGCCAATCATTAAGGCTGGAAAATCGTAGCCTCTGTTCAGTTTGCCCCCCCCCCCCCCCCCCCCCCCCCCCCCCGAGCTCGTGGTATTTCATGTTGTAGGTTATTTCTGATCACCGACAACATGAGATATGTTTTGACCGATGAATGGTTCTTCATCGATCCCTCGTGTTATCGGACAAACTATATTTCGTTCGCGTCATCATTTAATGACGCAAACTATATGTGCGTCATTAAATGATGGCGGTATTTGTGGAACTTTTTCTATACACTTCTTTAGCTTAATCATGATCCTAATTTATTATTCCGCATTTTTTTATTCTTTTTGTGAAAAGCTTGCACAGAATTTACAGACAGCTATAGAAAAACACATAACTGGAATTGAATGGCACGTTTAATAACACTAATAGTACCACAATCAACACACTATTTTAAATAATAGGCATTTAGTTTCATTAAACACAGATCGATTCCCAGTCCAACACAATCTTACATAACAAACGAGTCATTGAGGCAACACGAAGCGAGGGACGCGAATGACCCCTTTGTCGACGCGGCCTTCGACTTCCCAGCCCGCTCCCAGAGAAAGTGGTTTAACAGGTACGCACACAACTAAAAAACGAAACAAAAGAGAAGTCAAACGTCGTCGCGCGACTAGCTTCACCTCTTTGAAACCCAAGCAAGCTCATCACTTAGACACTGCATGAAAACCCTGCTGCTTACAGAAAATTAGTCAAGGAATGAATCTCACGATTCGCTTGATGCGAAGATGCTCCCTCGTCGCTGTCACACAAACAACAACGACTGCCTGCGTACGCTCGCTTTGCCGTGGGCGACGGACGCGGCCAAAGAAGAGGGAAAGCCAGCAGGCCACTAAGCCTCGGCCGTTGCCACCTACCGGATCGAATCCTGTTCGGCCGTGCTCGCAATGCAGCCGACCACACGCACCGCAAGCTTTCGGACGACGGAACCCGGCGGATGTCAGCGGGAGGCGCAACGCCTTGCGATGCGCGATTACGACTCGCTCCCCGCAACTGCGCAAACGACTTTACTGTCCTTAGGCCTCCCGCGTGTTTCGAGGACGGACAAGTCGATGTTCGCACGCTTTGTGGAGGACGAATAAACTTCCGGACCGCGAAGGTTATTGGATTGTATGCAGGTTCATGTTGTAACCCTTTTTGTTGCCTTTGGGCGTGGCCGAACGCTGTCCGGAAGGTGAAAGATTTGGCGGTACGGAGTGAGGAGTTGCGAAGGAGTCGGTGAGGGTAAGTTGGGGGGGAGGGGGGGGGGGGGGGCAGGAGCGAGCACCATGGTAATGAGAAACACTGGCCCGAGATCACCACGGCAACGCTGCAACGTGGATGTCAACGAAACCCCAAATGGACGACCGCTACCGGGAACAAGTCATCTTTTTCTTTCTTCTTTTGATTGTTGGGACCTTAGTATTAAATCGGAAAAATAAATAAATAATAAAACGACAGAAAGCTGTACAGGAAAAAGGAAATTATTTATGGGCGGGTAGGGTGCTCACTCAGGAAATGAAGTTTGATCTACGAGGTGATAAAATTATTCAAAGACAAGCGTCGGAAAGATGGACAGTTGGTGGCCAAGAGCTAGGAATGCCTTGGCAAGGTTTTAAACGTATGCCAACATGTTCACCTTGAATGTTACATACTAAAAGCTGACAAAGAAGTGTCTCCCTTGGAAACACACTCGTATGTATGTCTGTAATTAAAGTTGCATGGTGTTGTTTCGCTAGTATGGACACCCCCATTCCTCAAAAAAAAAAATAAAAAGCGTCCATAATGTGAGTTGTCTAGAATAACGAGGCAAAAAGGCACGTATTTACGCGATTCCTCCCCGGAAATATTGTCTATATACTGCGAGTGGGGTATCCATATTTACCGAGTGAGTCCGCATTAACGAGATATAACTAGGGTGTGTATTTTCCGGTTTTAACCGAAAAAAACCGATAAACATCCGTCGGTGACGAAAATACAAAATCGGCTAAAACCGAAAAACACCGGTGGCTGGATATTTTCGCCCTGGTTAAAACCGAAAAACACCGGTCGTTGCACGTTTCCGACCAAGCGAAGCCCTTTCCCCGTAGAGGTTCGTCAAACGTGTTATCTCGTGGATCCTGCATCCTTCCAGTGTCCATACGTGGCTTGCAGGTGGCGTCAGTCCGCCCTCCTTTCTGGGGGTCAAAAGCGTCTAGTGAACGCAGTGGAAGCTAAGCTCTCACACGCCTTTCCCCCATTGTGTCTCCCATGGCCCCCTTTTGTGGAAAAATTAACGCAGTGGAGGGTACGCTCTCACGTGACCTTTCCCTATTGTGTCTGGCCAAGTAATGTCGGTGCAAGCCATGTATTCAGAGGTTGCTGTGGTTCCTGGAAGACACTGCCAACATCCGTGTCGTCGTACAGGGCTAATGACCTTTCAGAACTGAGATGCGTTCCTTGTTATCTGTTTAGTTTCCATGGGCTTTTGGGCAAACGGACGAAGGGTTTTGTTGGCGGGGGAGTTTTTCGCTGTATATTAAAAGAACCGTTCTGTAAAAAAAATTGCAGACGTGTTGAGTAGGCGCGTCCGTCCCGCGTCTGCGGGTTTTCTCAACCTGAGACTTGCTTCCCTTCGTCGTCACGCGGAGTAGAAGGGCACCAAGATGGGAAGTGAACGGAAAGGTCAGGATGGGACTACGCTACAGATTTCATGGATGAATCGTCGTTCTGGTTCCGCGTGCCAGTTGTTAATCCGTGCATAAACGTGGAGCTGCTAGAGGGATTGGTGCCTTATGAAAGTATCTATCGGCTGGTCCTCCAAGACGAGAGCTAGCCGAGTGACCTAGAATCAGAGTTTCTTTGTTACCGCCAGTATGCTGTATCTAGTACCGTTGATCCAGTGTTATTTTGGAAACTTAATTTACCTGACTGGCCACTACTGTCCCAAGCCTCGCTGGACATTTTTTGAGATTTCCTGTGTCCAGCGCAAATGTGGAGCGCGCGTTTTCGAAATTGCGGGTTGTGAACCGCAAGGAACGTGCTGCCATGACGGATGCAAGGCTCTAGAAGAATGCTTGCATCTACTATAATAGCCAAGTGTGAGAAATATATGCTTCCTGGGGAAGTGTATGAAATATGTGAATAAAATTGGACCTCTCTGTCTGTGATCAATCGCATTTTTTCCACCGATAATCACCGATTTTCGCCTCGTCCCGAGACGTTCCACCGAAATACACCGGTGTGTCGAAAATAAATAAACACCGAAAAACATCCGCCGATTTTCCTCACAAATAAACACCGGAAAGTACACACCCTAGATATAACTGAATGTATACGTGCTTAGCAAAGCATGCACTCTAAAAAAAAAAAAAAAAAAAAAAGTCTTAAAACAATTTTGGGAAGTTTTTTGGCTTATCCATATTTTGCACCCTGAAAAGTGTTTTTAAGCACCCCCAAAAGGGTTCTTCGTGAAAAACCTAAAAGGGGTTATTTTAAGCTCCTTTTTTGGTGCGAGAGTTCTGCATCGCCCAGTTTGCTTTCTAGTGGGTGCGACTGTGCTTGAGGCAAAGCCGTTCTTCACGAGCTTAAAGAAGTACTGGCCGGCCTTCGAAAAACCTTTAAAGACAGATGGTTAATTTTTTTTCTTCCTTATAGCGTGGAGGATAGTTGCGCTAGAACAACAAAGATCTTTTATGCATAAGGCGTCGATCTCAGATGTCTCATACAATCACTGTCCTTCCACTTGACTTCTTTTTTTTTTTAAGGGGGTGGGAGGAGGGCGATTTTGTTTCTAACGACTTTGCTAAAACTATAGTGGGTAACAAGTTAACAGTAAAATGGAAGCTCCTCCCACCTCTTTCGTCGCCTCCTCTCCAGCGTTCGCTCTACTAAAGAGGAAAGAGGTGGGAGGAGCTTCCACTTTACTCTTCGCCCTGTCACCGACTCTAGTCGTACACTCGTAGTCGTCCATCAAGCCCGCGAACACGCACACACACACACGTTCATTCACTCACACCGAAGCCGCGGACACACTGCCAATACATTCGTACAAAAAGACAGCCTTTAGAGACATTGTCCGAGGCGTGCTTCTTCCCTGTATTGAGGGGGTCCCGTCACCATACAAGAAACGTCCGCAGACATGTTCGAAGCATACAAATGTATGAAGCAAAACGTGCCTGAGGCGTGTCCTCGGACAATTATCCGCAGATAAATCCGTCTTCGTTGCTGCATCGAACACCGTGTCTTTTGTACGCTGAATGAGCAGTGTGGCCGCTGGTGTACAAGCGTGGTACTCACAGTGAGAGAAACAAAAAGGGGGCCTTCTTCTTCGCTTCGTGGTCTCGAGCTTCTCCGCGGTAACTCCACTTGGCGTTTTCGCTCGGCAAACAATCGCAGCCTGTTCGTAGCAAGGACCGCCTCCACTGTTTTACTCTCCCCTCTCGCCCGCAACTCGCGGCTCTCTCGGCCGTTCGACACGCCACAGCGCCACCGGTCAGTTTGCCCGGCCAACATTAGCGAGATAGCGGCGCTTGATTCTCCGCCCTCTCGCGTTTTTGCCATTCTCTGGCGGCTGAATCAACCCCGCCTCTCCACTCACGGCCCCCAAGGTCGCCTACCGCTTTGTTCCGTGACGTTTGTGCAAATTAAGTCGCCTTTTTTACAACCGTTGCACTTGTCTACACTCCGCGCGTGCAAGCACAGTCATTCGCTTTAATCGTTCTATACCGCAGACTGTGAAAACTTGAGAAACGACCAATACCTCGAAGAGAGGGTCCTTTTAACACGTTCTACCAGGAACTCTTTTTTTTTTTTTTCTATTTTTGGCGTTGCAATTGAATGAGTTGTATCATTATTTTCACTTTCCGGGAAGCGAAGGAACTCGCGTCGCTACGTGTTTACGCGTCTGCCGTTATTTTACAGTGTGAGCCTTTATCTTAGTGCCATGAAAGCGCCCAGTTTAGTCGTAAAGGGACAACGCTAAAGCGTGGTTCGCTAACTCCGACGACCGTGAACCAAAGCTGCACTTGAAAAACACCTTTCTACGTTTTCCTTCAGCAGCTTGAAGGTTTCCCGAACCGCGGCGTGGAGGATCTAGTATGTAATAAATAGAATAACAACAAAATAAAAAAGCCGCTATTTTTGTTTTTAAAAGTCTAATAGTGCAGGAACTACAGTATTTAAAAAGCGATCGTTCTAATCTTTCTAGAAGTTTACATGCAGTCAAGTACAGTATAGGTCACGACTCATGGGTGACATCAATATGTATATGTATATACACTATAAAAAATATGCAGATGAATGAACCGCACTTGATCGAATGAATCAATGTTTCGCGAAACCGCCGAAAGCCAAAATAAATGGCGGAGCCAGGTTTCGGAAAACATTAATTCATTCGATCAAGTACGGTTCATTCATCTGCATATTTTCGATTATTTCCTCTTCGGAGACCGCGTACGACGATGAAAAGTGCCCTTGTATATACACTCCGACGGTCACGTGATGTCCGACGGTCACGTGATGTCAGGGTATGTAGCGTCAATTTTTACGCTAAATTTAGCGGTGAAACTGCGTTGGTACTTAGGTCCCGTGACATCAATATTCCCGCTAAATTTAGCGGGAAATTTGCGGGCGGACGGATGGACGGACGTACGGACAACAATCTGGGATTGGGGGTTCCATTAAAAAGCATTTCATGCTTTAATAAAGTTTTGAGCAGTTCTTTCGGATGTCGATAAATTGGTGTCTCATACATTAACGGGGGTATCAGCGGCCGAGCTTGTTAGCAACTTAGCACATCGCAGCTCGAAGCGCCTGGAGCGAAAGCTCGCTCTACAGCCCAAAGGTTCAATCTCCCAATCCCTGCCCTTTCCGATCTGGATGGGCATCATACCGGAGTGCGGTCGTGTATCAGTGGCTCTGCACGAACCTATATGGATCGCCGAACGAATAATTTTATCATTCACAAAAGTGAGTGCTAAAATTATTTGCTATAATTGTTAGTTGAACCAGATATGCGCTGGAAGTTGCAGGAGCTGTTAAAGCTGCGAGATGATCGTGCAGGAGCATGTAAAAATAACACGAGTGGCACAGTCTGTGAACTAAGTAACACGACGTGCTACCTTGCGGCGTGTTTTGAGTGCAATATAATTTAGGCTTTTTTTCATCGAAGAGACGCTTTCTGTATACTCGTAATGCAATAGTATATATCGGGTTGCCGTATTTTGGACTGCCTCAAGCATAGTTTTGGTGGGGCTCCAAATAGCCGAGGCGCATTCTGATTTAGGTCAAACAAAGATTTCGTATGCCAATTTTTTAAGTTTTCGAGGAACAGCACTCAAGCAATACCACATGCAGAAAGGGTTTTAGATGTTTCGGAAGAAATGGAGTTAGTGTGGTTAATCCATGTTATTACGGAACTTAAGATAACACAGACATATTTATATGCGTGAACTTCTTTTATGATGTCATTTTTCAACATATACTGAAAGGGGTTAGAGGATTTCTTTCGCGAAAAGCGGACCAATTGTTACTTTGATTTGTTTAGTGACATATGATGGTCGTTACACTACTTGGAGATAGGATCTAGATCCTTCTGAACTATCGTTTGGTCGTTAGGATGTGCGATTTCATGGTACACTACACAGTCATCTCCAAAACTACGTATATTATAAATGACTGTGTTTGAGAGATCATTAATTAATATAAAAAATAAAAGAAGACCAAGTACAGTTTCTTGCGGGACACCGGATGAAACGTTAGCTACGTTAGATTCCTCTCTATTTAAGACTGTGTACTGCACACGTGAATCGAGAAAGCTGCGTATCCAGCTGTGTACTCGAGCATTAATATTAAGTTGAGAAAGTTTAGCGAGTAAGCGGAGAAGGAAAACACGCTCAAATGTCTCGGAGACATCTAGAAATATCGCGTTAACTTGATTACGATTACGAGATTGAAGGCCAGAATGGATCATCTGTTAACTCAAATAGCTGTGTTTCCCAAGAAGAACCATGGCAAAGCCGGGATGGTGTTTAGAAAATAACTCTTTATCGTGTGCTTTTACGGAGGCTGCAGAAATAAATTTTCAAAATACCGCTAAAGCCCCTCCTTCCAGGGGCGTGACGTCATATTAGAGTTTTCAGAATCTCCACTCTCGCACATCTTCAGCGCCTATAAGAGCTATGCACACGCACTCTTGCTATTTTCGAAAAGGTGAGAAAAAAACGTCAGGACTAGTCACGACTGGTGTCAGTCCGGGGAAATATCCCTGGCAAGCTTGCAATTGCACGCGCTGCCCACACGAGCGACACGCACTTGGCGGCCCAAAGATGACGTTACGGCTGGTCGGAGGAAGTACGTGTTTTTTCGCGTTTAGTTACAACTTCGAGAGAAACGAACGTGAAATTCAGATTCACGGGATAAAAATACATCAAACTTCACCTCTAACTAATTTTTTTTTTTTTTTTTTTTTTTAGTTAGTGTACGGTTTTTCTATTTTAGTGGACCGAAACGATCTTACCAATTTTCCAATCAGAAGAAATATAGCCCTTGAGAAGTGACTGATCGAATATCTGCTGTAGGAAGTCAGTGGATACAAGTTTAGTATTGTTGAAGATTTTCGACGGTAGGTTATCTGGCCCCGAGGATGGTGAGCGTTTTAGTCCGTCGATAAGGGTGGCAACACCGGCAGCTGAAATTTCGATAGATCGGAATTGACAGCTTGTACGACAGGCATACTTGAGGGGTTTTCGTTTGTGAAACCTGAGGTGAAAAGGTTATTCATAACCTCAGAGCACAATTTCTCAACGACTGCGTCGCAGCCTTTATGAACTAATTGAACTAATGACTGTTTCTTTTTGTAGACAATATCTTCCAGAACTTTCTAGAATTGTTTCAAAAAACACCGGAGAGGTCCTGATAAAAAAAAAAAAAAATTCTACGATTTAATGCATTGGGTATATTTCCTTAAACAAGTGTAATACTTTTTCCATGTGCATGAAGAATTTCACGAGAAAATTATCTTCGCATGTTTTTCTTGTGCGTTTATTTTGTTGCTTAGTGCGCGCGAAGCTGGAGTATATATGCTTCTTCTGTATAAAATCGAATTAATCTCACTGCACCATGCTCTATTGAGCGTGTCCAAAACACTCTATAAGCATAATTTACAACAGGTAGTTTGACCCCATTTGTTACTACCCAACCATGAACAATTAATTACTTAAAAAACACTTGGGTTATGTACTTTGCTTGGTAGAAGACGATTACGAGATTTTATGTTTTTGCATAACGTTCCGAGCGGTGCTGTTGACTGACCACGTTTGTTAAGCACTGTCTGTTTTAATGCTGTCTTGTGGTCCAATCGATTTCAGAGTCCTTTTACCCTTCTGTTTTGAATGACACGTCCCCACTAACAGGGATGCAACTTGAACTCAACAAGCTAGATAAATCCGTTGCAGATATTTTTGTGATCTGATTATTTTTCTACATAGGCTTGACCCAACTATTTGTACATAGTGACGACCGTGTTTTGTTGCCTGCATTTATTCTTGATGATGAGCTAGCTAGCGGTGCACCGCTATTTAGGCCCTGTGGCTTGTGCTGTTTTTGGGTATCCAACAAAAATAAAGATTATTATTATTATATGTCGGAAAAGTTGATGTCACCAAGTAAAAGAATGTTCGCTTTTGAAAAAACGGTTAATGGTCTCTAAACTGGCGTTATGATATGCATTTGTGAAAGCAGAGTCGCTAGTCTATAACGAGCGCAAAGTATAGTTTTACAATAACGCGAGCTAAGATATACACAAAAAAAAATTCCAAATCACAATGCAACTGAACCAAGACAGAAGAAATGTTACTTTTGACACCAATCAGAAGAGATTATTCAAAATCTTCTAGACAACGTGCCAGCTGTATAGAAAATAACTGTAATCAGAAACAAGTTCAGAATGCGCCAGAAGTTCCGGACGCCTCCAGCACGCGCTCGCCACCTTCCGTCCCGCTTTGACTGGCCGTGCCTCACGAGAGACCTCGAAGTGTGTTACCATAACCTCCTCTATACTGACAAAGCCTGGCAGATCGCCACGGGAAGCGGCCGCCGAAATGGAAAAGGTGGAGCGGTAGACAACAGATGAGAGGAGAGCCACGTGACTGGCGCCCCGCTGCGGCGAGACGCCGAAACACACTTCTCCCGAGCGAACAAATGTCTTTCGGGTCCTCGCCGCTGCAAAAGCTGTGCGCTGGCGTACAGGTTCCCTGAGAAATGCCTTTTTGATGTTCTGTTCTACCAGATTTTCGCGCTCCAAATCTGCGACCGGGCACGTATGGCTCTGTCGTCGAACTGCCATGGCTTTGTGAGTATAGAGGAGGCTACGGTGTTACCGATAGAATGCTCGCGCAGAGGCGGAGCTCCTGGAACATTCGTAACTTGTATCTGACTATAAGCATTTACCTTTTTGGTTAAAAAGAAAAAAGAAAAGAAGAAATGTTTGGAGATGAAAAAGAGGCCGCTTTCGAAAGGGCAGCGTATTCCAAGTGAAGATATATACCACGAGAGAATGATCTAAAATAGAGATATTCCATTGAGCGCGACTTAACACGATCGTGTTATCGACGTACACAATGTTTACGAACAAGTCCGCGTTTGCCCACACCGGGTGGGGCCACTGCGCGCGCGCGTAGAAACCAGATTGGCCCGAGGCGAAGCATCTGCGCATGCGCATTGCCGACAGCAGCGCCACCGCAGCGGCGTGACGTCAGAGAATTCAGTTGGTGTGTACATTCCGTACGCTACGATCTGCTGGAGCCAATCAAGGAGCGCCAAAAGTGCATCGTCACGGCGCTCGCCGCTTTTGTGCCTTTGATATCGCCGGCTGAACCAATCACGCCCGCAGTGTATGCGCCACGATTCTGCACCTTTTTTTCCTTCTTCTTTCGCGTGATTGTTTTAGTTTGTGACAGCATACACGCAAAAAGAACGAGTGCCGTGTCGATGCACCTCTTCTGCTCCTTGATTGGCTCCATCGGATATTGATAGTGTCGGCTGCGATGATTTTTGGTTACTTGCGACCTTTCTTGAGGTGCACGTCCTCACGGTGACTGCTTGAATAATTTTTTTTTTTTTTTAACGATCAAGTCTTTAACCTTAAACTCAAGAAAAAAAAGTGTGACTCAAACTTTTTTATTGAAGTGCCACACAGTTCTCACAGTTGTCGTTCCTAGACGTCTGCTGTTGAGGCTCACTTCGGCGCTTCTTCGGAACTTTCAGCGCTCTCCTTCTGCAAATAAAAATATAAAAAAAATAACAAAGGAAGACCGCCAAAGTCAAGACATTCCGTGACCAACAACAGGAAAAGAAACCCAACTATTGTAAATGACTTAATCTTCGCGAGGACCTCATTTTCGCGAATATCCTTTCAGATGCCTTCTGCCAGAGAACCCTGTTTTCGAAAATGTTCGGTCCGTTTCCTTAAAATTTAATGGAAATCCCATATTATTAGAAATTAAATTTTATATCTTGAAGATCCTTGCATCCATGTAGAAATCTACAAACAGACTTACCATAAAGAGCGGAATTTTGTGATTTACTACATAGAACAATAACTCTGTATTTCTGAGACAAAGGTGGTGAACCCAAGAGCAAAAGCGGGAGGCTCATTCCATGCCAAAGGAGACGCGACAATGTTTGCATATCTGGGATACGTACAAAAAAAAAAAAAAAATTTGGATAAAGACGCCCCCGAATTCCAAGAAAGTATTTTTTCGCGAAAAAATAAATGTTATTTTTGCTGATATCATGCTCGAAATTTCATGAATCTGCATAAAAATCCCGTAATTAAGAAAAACATTCTGAAAAGAAAAAACGGTTGCGTATGACGAATTTTTAGGTGGGCGCCTAATTACTTAATAATATGCCTTATATCACACTGAAATACAAACACTGAAGGACGCCATTCTGGGTCCAGATAGGGGTTCCAAAGACAAAAAAAAAAAATACTTTGTTTGATTTTTTTTTTATTTTTATTAATGCGAAAGCATTAACTCTTTCATGGAGCAAAGCCGGCGGTGTCTGTAGCAACGAAAAACGGCGCCTAAATTCCCATTTTCCCATTGGCTGAGCAAAACGGCACCTAAAGTCCCATTGGTCGCGACGCGTCATATCAGATGCTTCGTCACGGAAGCCGTTGAGGCCGCTCGAGGTCAAAGCGGACGCGCCTCAGAAATAAAACACAAAGAAAAGCACAGCACCGCGGATGCGTCGTCATAGAAACCGCGGAGCCGACGGGGTTCGCCACACCCGTGGGAGCGTGATGTCACCGCCAGACAGCCGCGTAAGAAAGGAAGACGTGGCTTGTAGGAATGCGCTGTGTGTAAGAATGCTTTCGCATTCCTACACGTAAGCTGTCTGAAGTGTACTTCTGTATTCTTTTTTAAGTCAACTTGGATTTGGGTGTTAGCTACAACGATCATTTTTGTATTGGAGAACTAATAATTGAATTACATGTGTTAAATTTTCGAAGCGTCGTTTTGTTGCGTTTTAAATAAATGACAATTTCCAGATTATGCAGAAACACCCATCTTGAGAGCCAGAAAAACAATCTTGGCAGCGATGCCCGGAATTTTCGAAATTGCCAAAAGTTCAATCTACGTCATCCGTGGAACAAATCGGAAACTTAAAAAAAAAAAAAAAAAAAAGTACTTTTTGTTGTTGTTGAAAATATTTTTTTAAGATGTTTTTTTTTTAATTAATATTATTATTTTGCTTTCAGGCGCCCGCCTCGACGCCGGTGTTCGCCAGCGAGGCGTCAACAGTCTGAGATGCCGCCACGAGGTCTTCTCCGCATTCGTGAAAACACGTTTCATTCCGTTGAAGTGGTCGTTATCCTGACTTCCATGCATCTGTATCCCCTTTATGTTACGTAATGATACTGGCGTCTTAATTTTACTCTACTTCTAGTCCGGGTAATTGCCGACGAACGCAGCCCTGCATCATCTGCTTCCCAAGTTTGGAAATGCACACTGCGCGTCGGCCTCGTCTGTCGTATACGGCTAGATATAAAAACTATTCAGACCGGACACCGGAAGGATACCAGTGTTATCATAATCCTTATAATTTATAAACTTTCTTTTCTTCGGAGTCACTTATAGTGACGCCGACAAGCACATGGTTTGAAAGCTGACATTGCAGTTTTATTTATAAACTTAGTTATGTGAACAACGAAATTAAAACGCTCGAAATGTACGCCACGCATGTTGGAAAACTTATGTTACTCATAAACGTCAGACTATTGATACTTGCCACGTTTTCCTTTTTTTTTTCCTTCGTTTCTTTTTTTTTTTTCTACAGAGATGTACTGTGCGTCGTGCGACACTATTAGCACGAATAAGAGATCCCCGGATTTTTCTGTCTTGCTTTTAATATTAAGAGGCTGCCCTAAAAACTGCTATGGTGGGGGAAAGTGCTTACTTAGGCCCACACACCTAAGCTATAAAATATGGGGCCTCACAATACCCTTTCGAAATAACATAGAACAGCATCGCCGGTACTGCGTTCGCCCTAACAGTGTCGCGCAGTGCGCAAGTGAACGTGGCCTTGTAAAACTCACCTTCGCAGCCTTGTTGGCGTTCATGGTTATGTTGCGCCTCACTTCCTCCAGGAAGTCGGTGATCTTGGCTGCACAAGGCCAGGAAAGAAACGCAGCTTTGTATAGAATTTTCGTCACTCATCGATAATCTCACCTCGATGCCAAATCACACCAACAATTTCACCTCTGCCTCTTGCAGCTGCAGTATAGATGGCTTCGCTATTGCCAAGAAGTAACTTCCTGATCGTGCGATGAAAATTACCATCTTCGCCAAAGGATATACGCATTTACGTTGCAAACATATTTTCATAATTTATCCAGGTGGTCAGGGGCGCAACAGCGCGACAGACCGGCGTTCCTCAAAAACAAAAACGAAACCGCATTTTAATGAGCTTTTGAGTGAACTGAATACACGAACCGCACAGTAGATTATCTGCCGGTCAGTGGCAAGCTTTTGCCGGTCTTACAGATTATGAAGCGCAACGTTAACAAGTGTGGCGTGACGTTACGAGAATGTGTAGCAGGGACAAAACTCAGAAGGAAAGAACACATGACGAAAAAGAAAAAAAAAAACATTTCGAGCGTCTCCCAGTTAGAACCGAAGCCAGGACTCCATGATGCTGAGTCCGACACCTTACCACTGTGCCAAAGGGAGACTTAGGAACTAAGAGAGGTCAAGAAGTGTGAGAGTATGACGTGATTTGCCGTTCCAGAAGAATTAAAAGAAAAGAGATTTTATCTTTGGATTTGGGGCGAAAGTTATCGCCAGATATGTTGCGGTGCGCACAAGATGCACGGAGGCATCACTTACACATGGTGTTGGAGAGGTCGTCGGAAACCCTGGCGACAACCATGGAGAAGGCCTCTTCCATGTCGCCTTCCACGGTCCTGTTGAAAATTTGCTGGAGGAACTCGATGTCTCCCATCCTCCTCTGGGCGATCTTGGCAGCGAGCGCGTTTCTTCGAGTCAGGTGTCTGGGCTCCACCACGTATACCAGGACTGCCAGGGTGAGCAACAGAAGCAAGGAGACGCGGCACTGGGAAAGCATCTCGCTCGCTGTCTTGGCTTCTAGAAAAAGAAAAAAAATTTGGTGTGTGGGTATGTTTATAGGGCCTGAACTTAGTCTAACTCAACTGGCGACTTATCTCTCAGCTGTAGATGAGCAGTTTAGTCAGTGCAGTACAATCGCTAGCCTGGGGTCTTGAACGTGCACCACGCAGTAGTGATACACGACCGCACGCCGGTACGATGCTTATCCAGATTGAAACGGGCAAGGGTGTTGATTGAACCCAGGATTCCTGGATTCTGCAGCGCGAGCTTTTGCTCCCCGTGCTCCAAGCTGCAGTGGTGTGCGCTAGCCCACTCGGCCACCGATTTCTCTCAGCTTCTAAAACCAAGCGAAATAAGCCCTGCGCGTCCGCGGATTACCCGCAGATCATCCGCGAATATCAGAAGTCAGCTGGCAGATGCGGATAAATATGAATCTGAGGCGGATTGCAGATCGGATGCAGATGCCAGGGGCTATAGCGATGCGGGTCGGGTACGGTCAGATCCGCGAGTCCAAATTTACATTTTTGCCTAGGCGGCCCACGCACGTGTGCAATCGCATAGAGGGCATAAGTGAGTGATACTATGAAGTGCATACTAATCGAATGTTTTGCAGGAGCAAATTACTCTCTCAGAAAGAGGATGCCAATCCTGGGGAGAAAATTGTCCTTTACGCCAAGAAACACCTGGTTCTCACCAAATATCGTGTTAGAGCTTTGTATCTCGCCATAAACGATGTCCCTATAAAGAGTAAAGAATGCAGGGGCATCAATCATAACGAGAAAACATGTTCTTGTTTGGCAGGGAAAGAGCGGAAAACGTTCTTCGGGCGAAGAAAACCCAAAACGCACAAGTCAAAAGAAAAGAGAAGCCTCCTCGACAAGTGGAACGTGGTGTGTGTGTGTGTGTGTTTGTATGTGCGTGCGTGCGTGCGTGCGTGCGCGTGTGCGTGTGCGTGTGCGTGCGCGTGCGTGTGCGTGTGCGTGCGCGTGGGCGTGTGCGCGTGCGTGTGCGTGTGTGTGTGTGTGTGTGTGCGTGTGCGTGCGCGTGCGCGTGCGCGTGCGTGTGCGTGCGTGTGCGTGTGCGTGTGCGCGTGCGTGTGCGTGTGCGTGTGCGTGCGCGTGCGGGTGCGTGTGCGTGTGTGTGTGTGTGTGTGCGTGTGCGTGCGCGTGCGCGTGCGCGTGCGTGTGCGTGTGCGTGCACGTGCGCGTGCGCGTGCGTGTGTGTGTGTGTGTGCGTGTGCGTGTGCGTGTGCGTGTGCGTGCGCGTGCGCGTGCGCGTGCGCGTGCGTGTGCGTGCGCGTGCGTGTGCGTGTGCGTGTGCGTGCGCGTGCGCGTGCGCGTGCGTGTGCGTGTGCGTGCGCGTGCGTGTGCGCGTGCGTGTGCGTGTGCGTGTGCGTGTGCGTGTGCGTGCGCGTGCGTGTGCGTGTGTGTGTGTGCGCGCGCGCGCGCGCGCGCGCGCGCGTGTGTGTGTGTGTGTGTGTGTGTGTGTGTGTGTTTTCTCGACAGTTCGCAAGTTGAAGTATGCGGCTCAGAGCACGCAGTTGCGGGTTCGTGTTTAAAACTGAAAACAATAGGACGTCTCCATTATTGAATATTGTGACGTCTTCCCCAGTGGCGTACTCGCGTCTTACCACATATATAGGAGTACCTCGCTGTCGTGAGTGACCGCCTTTCCTCTCCCGCTTTTTTGTTGTTTGACCTAAATAAAATTACACAATATTATTAGTCAGTCATTCGTTAATTTGTACTTCTAGAAATACGTGTCTGCTAAAAGTGGGTGTTACAAAGCAAACAAAGTATTAAAATATCCTTCTTTTTCAATTTATCTTCTGGGCAGAGCGTCGCAGACTCGCAGGACGATTTCATAACTGCGATAATCTTTCCAGCGACGCGGAGTGTCTCTGGAAAAATGATCGCTTATAATATAAATGCGAGGGGACACACACACACACACACACACACTCAAAGGGACAAAGGCAACACCATTTATAATTTGAGACGTTTGACCTAATTTGTGTAATGTTTGATCTTATTTATGTGTCCCCTTAATCTCCAATTTCATTTTTTTTTTACAGCGGAGCTGTTAAGGGTTAGTTACCCCAGGATCGTGTCCGCCGGATTAGAAATGATGTCACCAAACTCTGGACAGCTACCGCCAGCAACCAGAAAACTGGTTGCCGCCGTCGCCCATAGATGGCGGCAATCTTTCTTCGGAGGAAGAGGAGCGGGAGCGGAACGAACGGCGATCTGCGCAGCGGCGGTATCGCCTAAAGTTCCACTGCGTCGAGTGCTTCGACTCTCTTGCGAAAGAAGAGCAGATCTGTCGCCTGGAAAGCCACCGCCGAGATCAGAACTTCGCTGCTCTTTCTTCTTCACCAAAGTAAAAAGGTTAAAATTTTTTTATTGTTTACTAGTTCGTTTGCGCAATCACTCTAATTTATGTTATTATTTATGTAAGAAACACACAGGTGCATTCGGTGTATAATAACTTCAACTCGCTTGGGGGGCACACGATTGGTGAGGCTGAGATTCAGTAGATATGAAGGACGATAATGGTGTGAAGAAGTCTTCGAAAGACGTTGTGATATGTATTTAGCTCCTAGAGATTTTTCAATTAAGTAATGCCACCTCTAGAGTAGAGTATTTACTGAGGCTGGGAGTCAATTAAAAGTTGTAACCCAATTAATCGCCGCTCTTTATTCGATTAATTGCTCAATTAATTGTCTCGGTCATTTCCATGCATAATATTTTAAGTTATTTTTTTATATGTGATGAATGACGCAATATACAATTTTGATTGTGAGTCAACCTCCATGTGTAGTTAAGAACAGTTCGAAGACACTCACAGATTTTTACTCCAGCTGCATGAGCAAAGAGGTTCTTTGATATTCTCCGGCAAGAGCGACCTTCTTTGATTGTTAATAGCCTCTGCTGCGCTAACGGCGTTGGAGTGGTCGGGACATGTGCAGCCTTCTGCACTTGTCAGGAGTTACATATCTTGCCTTTACAGTTTGCTTTAGGCTTATTTTGACCTAAAGTTAGCCCTTCATATAGCTGCACTCGTCCACGTCTGCGTGGTAAAAGCGTGGATTTCTACTTTCTTTTGGTTCGTCAAAATTTTACCCATTAATCGGTTAAAAACATTAATCGCGATTAAAGCATTCATTGATTAATTGGTAGGTTAATAAATCAATTTCCCAGCCATAGCCTTTACACGCCGGGAATGAAGGAATGGACTGAATGCTTAGCACCATCTGCCGCCTCATTTCCAGGCATCTTGCAGTGTTTTCAGATTCGAAACCGGCACTCCAAAACATCTCAACGTACAGTATACCTACGACGAGGGGCTTATGGGGCTAAACAGTATTGTTAGCTCTAAGTACCTTGAGAGTAAGCTAATTTACTGTTTAAAAACGTGAGGATTGTGCTAGCGTTAGAATTTTCGAATAGTCGTTTCGAATAATACGCTATTCAATATTCGCTTCGGGATGAACTGCTATACACTCCGTGCGGGAACTATAGGGGGCGCTTTGAAAAACGCGCGCAGCGCCGCTAGCGGAGGAGCTGGCGTTCACTGTGAGGCGCGTTCAGCAGCCTGCGGGGCCTTTTCGCATGCCAAGCTGTGGCAGCGGAAGCGCGCGCGGACGAAACTTTTGCTTTTTGAGCCGATACGTTGAGGGTGACGTTGCATGAGTGCTGGGGCAGACATAAGAAGGGCATCTAGCTGTTCTCCACTTCTTATATATTGAGTTTGAGCCGTAATTAGGGGTAATTTCTCTAGTTGCAGCGAAAAAGGAGTTGGAGCAATTTTCCGAAAAACAAGACGGCCGCCACCATAATTGCTCTGAGTGGGAAATTTATTTCGCTTGTCGCTGTAAACCTAGGACTGCTGGAACGATGATATTTGGAGGCGAGTGAGATATTCACTAAGTTTGTGCACGAAGAGTGCCAAGTTTCTTTAAGACAGCAGGTGTGAAAGTTATGTTTCTAACGAATAAAGAAATCAAGCTGTACGGGATATCCAATATTGGACCCAATATGTTCTGTTATAGCGGGATGTGCAAAGTGCAGGTTTGGGCACACAGGTGCTTGAAGTTCACAGTAACATGACACAGCACTTATTATACAAAAAAAGGTGGCTTAGGGAAACCAGGTGAAAATTTGGTTTGGGCGGCGTAACTCAATGGGAACCGGTTTTGACCATGAAAAGGCTGTCAACAGACTACCACTGGTCAGGGGAGGTGGAGACTTTAGAGGTAGGAAGGGACTAGTGGACTGTACTCCCAATTGAAACAACCTTACGAAAGGTGGTTCTAAAGCCGAGAAAACAAAGTTGTCGGCCAACGCACGGTTTGGCCGCCAAGGGCTTTTGCGGTCAGCTGTTGTGTAATAACCTGTTGTGCGAGGTGCTGATTTTCGGCGCACAGGTACTTTGACATGACCGTCACTTGGCACAACAATTATTATAAGAAAAAGAGTTGGCATAGCGAAACCAGGTGGAAATTTAGTCTGGGCGGCGTAAGTAAATGGGAACTGGCTTTGACCGTCAAAGGCAAGTCATCGTGGGAGGTGCACACTTTACAGGTAGGAAGGGACCAGTGGAGGGTACTTCCAGTTCGAACCACTTTGCGATAGGTGGCTCTAAAGTCGAGAAAAAAAACTGTTGTCTACAGAACTCGGGTTGTGAGCGTTTCCACATCCAAAAGGAGGCTGATCAAGAAAGAAAGCACACCACATAAACTTCCATACTCAAACGTCGACTCTCCAGTGATTCCGAGTTTCATTGTTGTTTTCTTTAGATTTATATTTGTCACTTTTTTTACCGTTCGAATCTTTCTTCATAAAGTACAGATTGTGTGCCATATTTCTCCGGAAATATCATCGGCACGTACGATGGGGACGAAACTTCTTTGGAGGGCATTCCTCCAACGAAATTGGCTCTGCATACCCGCGAGTGTGGGATGACATTTCAGTTCGTCCCATCGGCGCTGACACATGTAGGCGTTACTGGTACGAAAACAAACGCAGAGCGCAAAGCGGAAGTGTAGAATATGTCAGCCGTGCCGACACAGTGGCAGACATGATCGGGAGACCAAATTTCTCGCGTCGTACGGCACGGCTCCATCGTTGTCGCTGTCCCACAAAACATCGGCGAGGTGAAAAACTGCGAAACTTTGTCTCCACGAGACACGACGCATAACTATTGAAGCACTTAATGACGCAGCACAGGCAGCACCTCATGCTGTGAACCCAGCGCAACCGCACCACTCCGACTTCAATGCGTACCAACGTATACGGCGTGGTTTCGGTTTCGTTTTCTGTGGAGTTCTCATTGCCTACCTTCGGTACCGGCCGCGCGGCGGCGCGCCAGTCGCGTCGCACGTGTGGATCGCTGTGGGTTAGCCCCGTTGAGCGTGCCTCTTACCGAGCACCGATGCACTGCGGAGAAGCAACACCGGTGGAGCTCGCCTCTGCGGGTGTTGTTTCTCCGCAGGACGCGGGCGCAGGATAGTGGCGCGCTCAACGGGGCTAAATCGACACTTTAAAAAGTACAAATATTGCAGTCGCGTGCTTAGGAGGGAAGCACACCTTCAAAGCGGGATGGCGCACACCCGCGTCTGGTGTATTTAAAAAGAAACGTAAACTGTGTGACTGTTGATGTCTATGCTACAGTAAAATTTTCAAATGTAAACTGTGGCTATTATGCACTAATATATATATATATATATATATATATATATATATAAAAGAAATAAAAAGGCAATTACAAATGAGAAACAAAGGTTGTGTTGACATATCTGCCTAATATATATATATATATATATATATATATATATATATATATTAGGCAGATATGTCAACACAACCTTTGTTTCTCATTTGTAATTGCCTTTTTATTTCTTTTTTGTTCTTTTTAAGTTCGAGATTTAAGAAAGGATATTTGCATACAGCAAAATAATTAAAAAATCCCCTCGATTAGGTATATCTGAGCACCTCTGTGTGACTAATTATGCAGGATACGCGGGCTAAATCGCTCCTGCGAAAACTACGCATCGCACAGAAAAAAATTTTGATGGTACTAAATTCATTTATATAACGATGATATGCACGTTCAGCATTTTACGGCGTTCCGCAAAGTTGCTCATTTCGGAGGCGTTTCTGTTTCGTTTTCCTGACGCCCCCCCCCCCCCCCCCCCCCACGTGGCCAAAACACGTGGGGGGGGGGGGGGGGGGGGGGGCCTCTACTTGCTTGCGCTGCCACGCATCGCAGGTAGAAGAGGCTTGATAAGAAATCCTCCGGACCGTCACATGAGGTTTGTCTTTTTGACGTTGGTGCCAGTGTGAAGACGCACCTGGCGCACACAGGTTGCACGTTTTGGCCACGGGGGGGGGGGGGGGGGGGGGGGGGGGGGGGGGGCGGGATTGTTGACGCGGATATGCGCTACTACAAGGAACCGAAACCTAGAAACGAGTCGAAATTGAAAAAATTCTTTCGGAACGCCGTAAAATTCATGCGTGCCTTATATCAATGTAATATGCGTGAATTTAGTAGTTCTGGATCATTCGCATCAAGTTTTTTTATTAAAACCGTACCTTGAAGGTTAATAATTAAAAAAGACTAGTTAATAAAAAGTAATTAATTACCCAATTACATTGAAGTCTAATAATTTTTCTTAATGGGCCCTTTGTCACATACAGCTACGGCATCAATCTTTCGTAAGAGCCCTTTGGCCCATGATTCCAAAAACACCCTGTATGTCAAGTGCGTCGTCTACCAATGATGTAGGCATTGGAGTTTCCGAGGCCACAGCGCCTCAATATAGTTAGATTCAAATTAAGTTAGCTTAGGAATTAACAAGTGGAATCTTGGGTGCAACCTTCACGAGTTCTGCATGGTTTTCGTTTAAGCCCAGTAAAAAGCTTGGAGAAACTATTCGATACGCGATTCAAAAATATTCGACCTAACCACTATTCGCAGTATTCGCTTCGAGCTGAAACTCCTTTAATTGCTCAAGCCTAAAACAGAAATAAATAAAAAAATTAATAACTGTATTAGACTATCTAATTAGTGACCATGCAGCAATGAGAAAAATCATGTTAATATCTAGAACATCGTAATAAGACAGAAAAACAGCCAGGCCACCTCATTCCAAGTGGTGCAATGCTGGAAAGCGACATCCCCGCTTTTTAACCGTCTTAAAAATTATGTCATTGCGGTCGTCGGGGTCGTGCTTCTGGTGTCACACGCGCGTCTCACATAGCGTTTGCATTTGTTGCATCAGTGCACGTGAGATAGTATGCGATGCATGTTGTATGCAGGGCGTAGAACGTCAACGTCTACACTCCACGTGTCTGCGCTCGTATTGTATAGCACACAGCAAAATACGACGTCATTATAAAACAGGTATGTAAGAATGTTGTAGGCATGCATTAAAAAAAGACACCAGTTCTGATAACCCGATATAGCTTGTAAAATAACACGGCATAAACGTGCTTCCGGAAGATCGTGAAGCCTGCATGAACCTGCCAAACTGAAGAGAAGCCAGTTCGGAAAGCCGAAATAAACGCATCTCATCAATAATAAACCCAACGCTCGATGGCCAGTGTGCTTTTGAAACACGGCGAGCGCTCTCCAACAAACCAAATGAATGTCAAAATATTACCACGAGAGATATCAAGTAAACTTCATTAGAAACATGGAAGACACTTGGAGTAAAAGCGTAGTTATGTTATAAGCTATTACAAGGTATAGAACTCACCTCAGAGCCAGCACAAGGGGAAGTGGCTTCTCAAAACCCGTTGCGAATCCTATACGATGCGTCGGCAGATGTCTCAGCGAACGCTTCATTGAGCCGAGACCGCAGTCCGTAGCTGAATCCCGACTTCAAGGGCATCCTCCTCGCGGCCAAGTGGCGCGGACCCAGCTCCGATTGGCTCATCTTCCAGGACTTGAGTCTCTTCTCCGTTCCGGGACAATCACTTGAAGACGCCTTTGTTTGCACCAGGGCCGCGGTTTTCCTTGTCTGGAGAGTGGAACAAGAAAAACGTCGCGATGATTTACGTTGAACACGAAACTCGAAATGTGTTGTTCCGCACGGCCGAGAAAGTTTGAATTACGTATGGTGAAACTCAAAAATGCAATGTACAAAATTTTCCTTCCAATTTTATTTTTTTATGTCAGCTCGAACCCCTTTATGACGCAAATATGCCGAAAAGCATTATCTTTATGTTCGCACGCAAACGCGTGCTTTTGAAACGCGGAGCGAAATTGTGAAGGAGAACGACGGAACGTAGACGTATACCGGCCGTTTTGCGTAGAAACTTTAAAGCGTAAAAGAAATATGTCTTGCAGGAAATCGTTGTATCGTGCTCAGGGAAATAATAAACCGCCAATTAATCAATATTTATTGAACTATGAGCACCCTCCTGGTCTTTGTGCTGGCATACTCCACAAATAAAAAGAAAATTGAGACGAGTAAAGTATTTTTTAATAATATTAATAAAGCATCAACAATTGGTTTTATTTGGCAGTCAGGAACGGCCTTGCGGCCTTGGTGATAACAAGGCAGGAGAAAAAATATATGGTAACAAAAGGTAAGTAAAACAAAAATACAAACGCACACACACACGTCACAGATAGCAATTAAAGGTTCAAAGATATAAATAAAAAAAGGAGTGCAAACAGGCAGTAGAAGCTGTACAATAAATATATATATAATTATCAACATAAATATTTCTAAGGCGATAGATAACATAGCAGTGCAACAGACAACTACCTTTCGGAAGACAACTATGGTAATAAGACTAATAATCAATAACCAAGTCTCGGGAATCTATTTTATTAGGTGCCCAGGAACGATCAAACAGCCTTTGTGCTGGCATACCGAAACTAACGCATTAAAAAATACATATAAAAACTACCCCCCCCCTCTTCCCAATTGCGTCCCCTCGCCCCCAAATAAGGGGAAAAAAACAAGTTTATCGACACACACACACGCACGCACGCACTTACACACCGATTATAAAAAGAAATTCAGTCCCAAGTGCACTGCATGAATATAAGGCAAGGATTATCTATCATATATTGACAGTAGTGAATTGTAAGCACTTACAACAGAGCACACAAAAGTTTCAGTTATTGGCTAGGGTGCTCAAGGTAAAAGATGTTATAGCGTAAATATCAGGTATACCTTTCGGACGAGAAAGGAAATAATTGATGTTATCAGTTCAAATATTTCGGGCTTCTATCCGATTCGCGAAGGTGGGTTCAACTATACTTACGAAACTTGCGACGGCACGTGCAAAATATCGAGTTGTGTTTTTTTTTTTTTTTTTGTAATTGTGAACACTGAATCAATTAAAATATTGGGTTGAGCGTCAGTGACTAAGATATATAAGAGAATGAAATGTAATCCCTGTCCAAACTTCGGTAAAAGATCTGGAGAATCGATTAGACAAGGGGTCTCCAAACTCCGGCCTGCGGGCAAGATACGGCCCGCAGCCGCTGCTACCAACGCAAGGCTAAGCGCGCATGAAAAAATATGGCGTCGCAACGCGCACCAAAATCGCAAACGAAAATATCAGAAAGACAAAGCTACATCAGAACGGTTTATTCTCTCGCCTTATTATTTATTCTGCATTGTCGTCGCCAGGATTATTATTCGTAGTCCACTGTTTCCTGGCTGTGTAATTATGTGAAAATTCATTTGCATTCTTATGTATATCATGCTTAGTTTGCTCAGTCCTGTGTCATAACTATTGCATATTGTCAGGTCTGGTCTGCCTTTGTCATTTGTCTTCTGCGTTTGTGAATATACCAAAGGTCATATGCGCTTTTATTTTATGCGAGGTGAGTGTTCTTTGTCATAAATGTTTTGTAAGGACTAAAATGGCAAGATATTAAATTTAAAATTGGTATTAGGCGTGTGCGAATAGTGCATTTTGAGTTCGAAACGAATGGTAGTTTTGGCCGAATATTTTCGAATCGAATATCGAATAGTTTCTCCAAGCCTTTCACTACCGTGCTCCATTGTTAAGCGACAATACAGCCTAACACGTGAGGGTTGTTTCTAACCTTCCCTTTGTCTACCTCTAAGCTCAGCTCATTTTAATAGACTAGGTAACTACCAGGAGTACACCAACACTTCAATCCCTCTTTGGACGGTCCGCAAATATCGACTTCTCAACAGATCGCGCTGGACCCGAAGGTGGTGCGTTCATTAATTGAGAATATTAATACATGAAACCTCCGGAGTCGAATGAAAATAAAACCTAGTTTTGTCTATTTAAAAAAAAAAAAATATATATATATATCGCTAAGCTTTTTTTTTTTTTTTAATCCTCAAAAATAGTGCTGGGCTATTCTGGCGTTTACTACGGCTGAAAAATCGGTGAAATGGAAAGAGAATACAATTTGTTTATTTATCGTTCAATTTATTTGGCCCAAATAGGCGCCAGTGACTCAAAATATTATTTAAAGGGCAACTCCGCTTCATTTTTGATATTTAGAAAACTATGTAGCCCTCTTCAGTATCATATAGGAAGACCCCATGTCAAATATTACGATCTAATTCCGTTTATATATTTAATAAACTGGCCAGCAAACCTTCAAGCGAGCCAAGTCGCCGAAATCTGCCCACTCTAGCGTGCGGCGCGAGGCGCAATCATCAGCGCAGTCAATAGGGAGTTTTCGTAGATCGTTTTCGCCGTCCCGCAAGGCCCTCCGCAACCCGCTATGATAGCGGGAACTCCACAGTCAAGGCTATCGGTGCGCAGGCGCAGTAGCAACTTCTTCGTTGCGGAACGCTTAGCGGAGGGGGCAACGCGGTCTACGAAAACTCCCTAATGCCACGGAGTTGGAGCGGCCAACGTTGAACCACTACGTCAGAGGCATGTGTACGTCATTCTCACGTTTTGCTTGTTTCTACTTCACAGACGTCATGATGACGTCTGTGACGTCATGAGTTTCTCCTCCCGGTGTTGGCTGACCGGGCGTTCACGTGATCACCGTAACGCGGATGCGCTAGTTTGCGCTGCCCTGCGCGCTTATCGGTCTGTTTCTCCGGTCCCCTTCTCCTCTTTCGTTTTCTCCCCTTCCCCCTCTCCCCGGGCCAACACCGTCCACGCCATGCGAAGCGACCTGCCCGCGTCCAAAAAAAAAAAAAAAAAAAAGATTTGCCCGCGTCGCGTGTCCTGTTTCTCGCTCCCTCCCGAACGTCACAAGACCACGTGGTTCGACGTGACGTGCCATGACTCTGACGACCCGAGACCAATGTTGCCTGACGCAACCGAAGTTTCGGTTTCGGTATCTGCTGATGTTTAAATTAGGATTACACGAATAATATTCCACATTTCGCGAATCCGAAGACGTAGAGTTGTTTAGTAGTACTTTGTGAATGTGAGTCACATGGAAGCCTAACTTTTTCGGAATTGAGCGGAGTTGCCCTTTAAGTGTACATGCAAAGTATAGTTAAACATAATTTTTGATTTTTCGTTACTGACTCAGGTGAGTCAATCTTTCCACAATTTCAGTGAAAGCTTCCACCTCATTCAGGCACCTTAGTAGTAAATCTTAGCGAACCGTCCGAAGTGGTATCGAACACTGTATATTTGTGTTCGAAGTGGTGGTAAGTGGTGTCCGAAAAGGTATGGTGGTACACGCTGTATATTTATGAACTGTGGCATGTAAACATCAAATTTGTTGCAGCTATTTCACTAAATGGGATTTATAGATATGCTTGTTGTATGAAACATTTTTGTTTCATTTTAGAATTTGACAAGAAGAAGACGAAGAAAAGGCGGGAATTATGAATGCGGGTTAATCGCGGTCGGTTAACCCTGTTGAGTGCTCTTCTTACCAAGCACCTCTGTACTGAGAGGAAGCAATACCAGTAGAGTTCGCAAGCATTTCGGCTATTGCTTTCTCACAATGCAAAAGTGCTATGTGAGAACTGCACTCAGGGGGGCTCACCCGCCGCGATTGACACTTCGAAAAGTACGAATATCGCAGTTCACCTCGAAGCGAATATCGAATAGTACACAAACTATCGAAACTGCTATTCGAAAAAGTTAATATTCGTTCGACACTATTAAATATAGGTATACTTACCCTTTCTTTATATATATATATATATATATATATATATGTATATATATATAATTTTTGCTCTAGGTTAATTTTGTATATTCATGTGTTTATTTTGGTTTATATATTTAGTATATCATCATTAACAATCCCTTTTTTTATTTTCTAGCAAGGTTAAGGCTGGTGTTGTGATGATCGCTACCGGAGGTAGCGGTTAAACCACCCTTGGGGTCCCTTTTGGGGTAGAGAGGAGAAGAAATGCCACGAGACTCGGATTTAAATTAGGACGTTTATTGTCCGACTGGGGACGTAAGGTGTCCGCTCACCCGCTTGGGCCGGCGCTTGGAACCTGGCAGGTTGCACGTCATTCTCTCGTGTCGTGGCCTCTTGTCACACGGCACGGGCTGGTGAGGTCAGGCTGTGGCTGCTTGTCACCCGGCACGGGCTGGTGAGGTCTGGCTGTGGCTCCTTGTCAGCAGGCACGGGCTGGTGAAGTCTGGCTGTGGCTGCTTGTCAGCAGGCACGGGCCGGTGAGGTCTGGCTGTGGCTCCTTGTCAGCAGGCACGGGCTGGTGAGGTCTGACTGTGGCAGTGTGGCTGCTTGTCAGCAGGTCGCTCGCCGACGTCCGACCCGGGACAGGCTTCAGTCGCCGAGCCCTGACGGCCGATGCCTTTCAGTCCTTCGTTTCGTTCCCTCCCTGGCAATCGGGGCAGGCCTCGATTGGGACGCTCTTGATCTCCTCCTCGTTCTCGAGCCTTTTCCCCTTCCGGAACCTCCGTGACGCTCTTCATCTCCTCCTCGTTCTCGAGCCTTTTTTCCCTTCCGGAACCTTGACGGACGCCAACCTCTAAACCCGTCAGGGTCACCAATTTTTACAGTCCCCGGAGACGCCACCCGTCGAAGATGATCCGCACGTGCAACACAAAAAGGGCGGAAACGCGCCAGACGAAAATAAGCCTCGCGTCGCCAGACAGCCGAAAGTTAGCCCT